GTGTGTGTTCAACTATCTCTATTGTGCTGCCCCACAAAAGTATGTGAAAGTGAAAATGTTAGATTTTGAAATAATGCTTATTAGATCATGTCAACTTCCTCCAGAGAATCTGCTCCATTAAGTGATGTTCATGTCAAGTTTAAGATAAACTGTTTAAACTCACCTAACATGTATTCCTAATTCCATTTTGAGTCTTTGATTTGTTGTTCCTTCTGTCTTTAACAGTTCACTATGCAATGAAGCAAATCATTCTTAAAGCCCTTTCTGTTCTGGAGAAGAAAGTAGTTGGAAAGAAAATAGCAGCTGGGTGTTGGTGGTTGATGCCTGTGTTCTGAGTTCCTGAAGAGGCGGGATCTAAGGATCACAGTTCAAACCAGTATAGGCAGAAAACTCTCCGAAACTCTCATCTCCAAGAAACCACTAAAAAAAAAAAGATGGAGGTGGGGCTGTGGCTGAAGTGGTAGAGTGCTAGTGTTGAGCAAAATCGTCCCAGGGATACAACAGAGGCCCAGATTTCAAGCCCCAGGAATGGCACAAAGAGGGAAAGAGAGAATGAGGGACACACACACACAGACAGACAGAGACAGACAGAGAAGAGAGATGGCAAGCCAGCACAGCAGGAAGGAAGGAAGGAAGGAAGGAAGGAAGGAAGGAAGGAAGGAAGGAAGGAAGGAAGGAAGGAAGGAAGGAAGGAAGGAAGGAAGGGAGGGAGGGAGGGAATCCTGATGGTGTAGCACTGACCACAAACATCAAGGCTCTTTCCTGACAGTTACTCCCTTAGTCTTGTCTGTGCTTATTTCTTCCACATAATTTATTTTCACAACTCTTGATTTTCCTTGGCGGTCTATGTTACATATCTCTAGACTCTCTGCTAATTCAACAAGGACATTAAGTGTACTTTTGAAAAGCACATTTTTTAATGTAAAGTTGTTTTTGCAACACGAAGGCTCCTTGAGAAAGTCCCTTGCTTGGCTATTGTGACATTTCCTGCAGTGCTCCTCATGTCCGTTTTTATGAGGTCACTTTATCACAGCCTCTGGGGTGCAGGTCAGGGCTGCTGTGGTGAATGAGAGGAGGAGCCTCCTGTCCAGGGCTTTCCACTGCCACCCTTTTCTTCTCAGGAATGAATATCAGGGTGACAGCAAGCCAGAAATAGCACTGATTTGCTGGGGACAGTCACCAGCCCTGAGCACAAAAGCTCAGGGACAGGCCCCAGGCCCTGAGCTCAAGTCCTGGGACTGACACAGAAAAGGAAAGCAAGAAGATTGCAGGCCTGTCTCCAGGAGACATCCAGCGATTATGACGGGTGTTGATTGAACTGTGGGCCCTGAGCCAGGCGTCTCCTCCTGATCCTGAAGTTCCCACAGCCACCCATCCTCAGAAAGGCTTGAACCAGAGGCCCCGCTGTCCCTGCACTCCCTCCCTCCACACTCCCTTCAGGCATATTCCCTCCATGCCCACACCCTTAATCCAGTGCAAAGTCATTCCACCCAGCACACGCATGCTCTGGGTTCCATGGGGAGCTGTCTGGTGTCATCATTAACCTCACGCACACGTGGTCCTCTCCTGACCTCTGGTGTTCCTGTCCCCAGAGGTCCTCCCCATCTGTGTCACCTTGGAGAGCATGGATGTGGACTTAGCCTCCTGACCTAGGGGCAACATGAGTCCTCCACCAGCTCCCTGCCTTCTGACGGGACCCAGGCTTTCCCTGCCCCCACCCCATGTCAGCACCCGTTCCCCAGGAGCAACCCACCCTCCACCCACCGCCCCCTCTGTCTTGAGCACAATCCAAATCCAAGACAACCCATGCCGTGAGCTTCCCCTCCCCAACATCACTCAGCAATGCTCCACGTGCTTTTCCTCTTGTTCTCTTTGCTCGGTCATGTGGCTTGAACTCTGGGCCTAGGCTCTGTCTGTCCCTCACATCTTCAGCTCAAGGTGAGGCTCTGCACCTCACACACCCCTGCAGTGGCTGGAAGGACAGCCTCCCGTTGTCACGCTGACATGCAGCCCTGCCTGGACTCATTACTTCTGGAGAGTTCACACATTCAGGACATCTCTTTCCATCTCTGTCTCCTCCTTTCTTCCTGAACACCCTCGGTTCTGCATCACCATCTTGTACGAATCCCTTTCCTGTCCCCTGTGTCCTTGCCACACTGTGGCTGGACCTCCCAACTCCTGTTCTCCCGAAGCACATCTGCCGGCAAGAGCTCACAGCCAGCTCCTCACTTGGCTTCATTCACAGCAGCATCTCATGACTATGCTCAATATGAAGGAGGGATGAGACACACTCACCTCTCACTCGGGGGGATGACTTGAAGCTCCAGACAAAGCCTTTCAGGAAAAATGGATTGTGACACAAAGATGCGACTCAGCTCATGAACCGGCTGGGAGGTCAGCTCCCCCCGACACCCTGCATGCTTAGCTTGGGGGCACCGGGCCCCACCCCTTGTGCACCTCCTGCTGGTAGAACATGCCACACTGTGGTTGCCATCCTCGCAAAAGATCCAGCCTGGAGAAGCCTGGCCATTGGGATCAAAACAGCAGCATCCTGAAGGGCCAAGAAAGTCCTGTCCTGGGGAAGTTTTGGGGGGAAGCCCTCATGCCTGGTCAGATCTGGGAGTAACCACTGACTAACGCCTAGGACAGTCGCCATCTGACTTCTGTTCCTGGGTCACACCGGAGTCCAGGCCTGATGGCAGCCATTATTGCACACTGCATACACCTTGCCTAGTCAAGTCCCTGCCAGACTGTATCTACCTTCCCATTGTTTCTACTTCATTAAAATTCCAACAACTCACTTCTTACAGCTGATAGTGCTTGGTGGAGAAACCTTTAAAGCAGATGGATCCTTATTATAAGGACTTTTTTCGGGGGAGTGGGGCAGCAGAAAATCAGTAGTAGGGCTTGAACTCAGGGCCTGGGTGCTGTCCCTGAGCTCTTTTACTCATGGTTAGTGCTCTACCACTTGGAGCTTAGTGCCACTTCCAGTTTCTTGGGGCTCCTGCACCCTGGGATCCCAGCCCCAAGATGCACAAGCTAGCTGTCAGTACCCAGAGTTTTCCCATATGGCCAGCAAAGAGAAAAAGATAGGAGCTGTGGGTGGGTGGGGGAGCACTGCATGACAGGGCCACTCTACACCCCTCAGGGAGGGGAGACTGAGTCCCATCCTATGCAACACAGTGGCATGCAGATTTCCTGCTCAGGTACAGCCTACACTCTCAGCACTGTTCTCTGCCAAAAATCCTTTTCTATCTGTTCAGATTCGGTTCAGCTACTGCCTCCTAGAGACTTTGCAGGCTGTCCCTCCCCCAACCTGCCCACAACCACCGGCCCCTTTGCCTGGCTCCCACCCGAAAACAGTGCCAAGCCCAGCCACAGTATCAGGCCTCAGGGCTAGGCAGGACAAGCTGGGGCTCCGGCAATCTCGGGGATTGTTCCTTTCTGACCTAGGACTCACCACAGGAAGAGAAGCACCTAGGGCTCAGAGCACCACATAAAGAACCAAGACACTACGCTGCTGTCCTTTAAGATGCCAGCCTGTCATTTTGCTCTAGCCCACAATCATGCTGCAGTAATCACTCACAAAGCCAATCCTGCATGTTCTGCAGGCATGAGGCCGAGGTTTCTGCTTTCTCTGTGGACAGCACCTCGTTTTCCCAAAGACACGGCACTTGCCACATGCGACTGGAGAGGCTCCCAGGCAACAAGTCCAGAGAAGAAGGAACCTAACGCCCATTGGGACTCTGACCCCAAGTGTCTGGATCCCCAGTGGCTCTTGGCCTGAAGTTCCTACATTCCCCCCATCCCTCGACCTAGTTCTTTCCATCCAGGCAGGCAGAACATTGTCTGATGAGACTGTCCTCACAGCCGACACTTAGGTGTTAAATGGACTGAATGCTCTCCATGTCTCTAGTATGAGTCACATGACTGTTTCCACCTTGAAGAGCCCAAGGTAGGTCTCAGGCTGGGATTCTCACTCCAGTGCTGCGGCTGCCTTCCAGCAGACTTCCAAGAGGACATCCTGCCTCCACCCTTCTCTTCCTCACCCTTCCCCTCAACACAGTCCTGCAGTACATAAAGCTTGTCTACCTGCACCTCAGCCTCTGTACCCCATCATCCAGGGCCCCTGCGGTGGGCTTCTCTTATTAAGCAGAAGCCATCTGCAGGCCCCTCCCCCACTGCACTGGGGCAAAGGATTCCCCACCTGTAAGGAAGGAGAGGAGTTCACTTCGGGTCCTTTCCACTCCAAGGGCCAAGGTGATGATGGACAGCTTCTTGATGCTGTTCAGGCGAAGCTGAGGAGAGCATAAGGAGGGAGAATGTCAGTAATCCCAGACTCAAGGGAGCTCCACAATGCTGGGAACAGATGTTCAGCACACTCACCATGCCCTCCTCTGACCTGGAGCACACAGTTCAATAGAAACAGCGCACTTTGCGAGTTCTCATAAGATCACACACTCTGCCCATCACTGGCTACTACACCACATACTCCACTTAGTAGCAGCGGCAGCATAGCATGCATGCATGCATGCTCTGGGCCAGGACCTAGACAAGACACACACACCTGTGACCTCACTGAACCCTCAAAGCAATCGTATAAGGTATGAAGCTGGCTCACAGCATCAATGCTGTGAGGCACAGCACAAGACAGAAGCTCTGGCCAGCTCATGGAGCTAAGAGGATGGCTGGCAAAGCAGGCACTTAAACACAAGACTTGTGGCTAACAGTGATGATGAGAGAACAAACAATAGGATACTATTACTATAAAAACAAAATTCAGGTATGCTGATGCATACCTGTAATCCCAGTACCCAGCAGACTGATGTGGAAGAATTGTGACTCCAAACCAGCCTGGCGTACATAGTAAGATCTTTGCTCAAAATAGCAATGACCACATAGGGTCATCCACAGCCGTGCTGTGGGTACCACCATGGGTGAATGGGATCCTGAGACTGTACAGGTGGGTCTGGGTGCAGTTTCTGGCTCATTAACTTCCTCGGGAATGCAGCCTATAGAACCCGAGTTTTGTTTCAGAAGAGGGCCATGATAACTACTGGACCCAGCGTTTCCATCTCAGAGCCATCGCAGCAGAATCCTGACCAGTGTCTGATGGTACATCTGAAGACCTGTCACGGGATGGGTCCAGCCCCATGTGCCAATAAGTGGTCCAAAGATTCCAGGCCGAGGTGCTGCTAGGCCCCCAGCCTGGCCATATCAGCACCCTGTCACACCCTTTCTGCTTGATCACACTTTGACACAGTCTTCCCCACCCATTGAAGTCTATATATATATAAAAAAAAGAACAAAACGAGAGGGTTTGGAGAGCTTCCAGATAGTTGAAGATGTGAGGGTTCGTGGAGCATAGGGGGTATAGACAAGGCTCTCGGCTCCCGGGGCCTTGCCATACAAATATTTTCAGTAGCATCCTTTATGGTGAACCCGTGAGGATTTGTCCCTGGTCCTGATTCCTTTGAGCTGATCAGCTCCAGGTGGGGGCAGAGTCAGAAACACAGGCAAGCAACCTGGGCTTTCACATCCGCAGCAGGGGAAGTTAGGGTGAGAAGTGAACTGAATTAGAGGGGCCGGGCTGTGTCTGCTGTTGCATAAGGAAATGTTCAGCGGGGGGGGGCACTTGTGGCTCTGGTGGTAGAGCACCAGTCAATGAGCAAAAGCATCAGATTCCCAGTTGAAGTTCTAGTCTCAGATTAAAAAAAAAAAAAAAAAAAAAGAGAAAATGGCAATACTTCCCAAAGCTATCTACAAATTCAACGCAATACCTATCAAAATTCCAACCTCATTCTTCAAGGAAATAGAAGAGGCAATCCAAAAATTCATATGGAACAATAAAAGACCCCGAATAGCAAAAACGCTCCTCAACGGAAAGAACACTGCTGGAGGAATAGCAATACCAAATTTCAAACTCTACTATAAAGCCATAGTAATCAAAACAGCTTGGTATTGGCATAAGAACAGACCTCAGGACCAATGGAATAGAATTGAAAACCCAGAAATGAATCTACAGACCTATAGCCATCTAATCTTCGATAAGGGAGTTAAAACAATAGAATGGAAGAAAGACAGCCTCTTCAGTAAAAGGTGCTGGCAAAATTGGTTAACTACATGTAGAAAACTAAAGCTAGATCCTTATATATCACCCTGCACCAGAATCAACTCCAAATGGATCAAAGACCTTGAAGTCACAGCAGACACTCTGAAAACATTACAGGATGGAATAGGAGAAACCCTAGGTCTCCTTGGCTCAGGCCGAAATTTTCTGAATAGAGACCCGGAAACACAACAAATCAAAGAAAGGTTGGACAAATGGGATTGCATAAAGTTGCAGAGCTTCTGCAGGGCAAATGACATAGCTAGCAAGATCAATAGAAAGCCCACAGATTGGGAGAAGATCATTACTAGCCATACAACGGACAAGGGTCTCATATCTAAAATATACTTGGAACTCAAAAAATTAAATCCCCCAACAACAAATCCTCAAAGAAACAACTGCCCAATAAACAAGTGGGCGAAAGACTTAAAGAGAAACTTCCCTGAAGAAGAAAGAAGGATGGCCAATAGACACATGAAGAAATGTTCAACATCCCTAGCCATAAAAAAAATGCAAATCAAAACAACATTGAGATATCACCTCACCACAGTTAGAACGGCAAAAATCAAGAACTCTAACAACAACAGATGCTGGAGGGGATGTGGACAGAAAGGAACCTTACTTCATTGTTGGTGGGAATGTAAACTTGTTCAACCACTTTGGAAAGCAGTATGGAAGTTCCTCAAAAGACTTCACATAGAACTCCCCTATGACCCAGCAATCCCACTTTTGGGCATTTACCCAAATGTTTACAAACAAGACCACACTAAAGCTACCAGCACAACAATGTTTATTGCAGCATTATTTACCATAGCTAAGATATGGAACCAACCCAGATGCCCCTCAGTAGATGAATGGATTAAGAAAATGTGGTATATATACACAATGGAATTCTATGCCTCCATCAGAAAGAATGACATTGCCCCATTTGTTAGGAAATGGAAAAACTTGGAACAAATTATATTAAGTGAAGTAAGCCAGGCCCAAAGAAACATAGGTCCCATGGTTTCCCTTATTTGCAATATCTAGTATATGTATGAGTCAAGCAGAAAAGGTCAGATAATGTGATGTCAGGAAAATGAACCCTTAGATATGTATTTTAATTTTTTTTTCTTTCATGCATGTGTTTCTAACGCATTTATAAGATTATCTCTTTGTTGCTTTGTATGTCCCTCCCCCACAGTATAACCCCTGCTTTCACTATATTTGATGTCAGTATAACTTGTGGAGGAGATGGGGAAAAACCAGTTGTTTAAGGATACAGGTGGACCTGTTGCAACAATGAGAAGTACTAGTTGTCATGTCCAAAACGAGCTTTACAACGTCGGGGAGGGGGGAAGGGGGGGGGAAGGAGAAGGATTGGGATTGGGGGGGAGAGGGGAGGCTGGGAAGGGATAAAAAAAAAAAAGAAAGAAAAAAGGGAAATGCTAGCTTGCTATTGGGGAGATGTGATCACATTTTTCAGGGCCAAAGCTTTTTCTGTTGACTGTGGTGGAAATGTCGAGGAAAATCAGGGAATTTTGTTTGTCTTTACATATATGCTGTAAGCTATTTCCCAGTCGCGAGCCAGTGCTGGTGGACAGGAAAATAGTGTCTGTGGGTGAGTGTTTCAACATCCCAGGATGAGTTCACTTTGAATTGAAGGTGGGTCCTAGAGCCAACCACAGTGTCGTCCTAAGCACCCGAGCTGGAGAAGACTCAGTACCCAGAGGGCACAGCCTGGGGACAGAGACAGGGGGAGGCAGAGGATGCATCCATAAGGCCAAGAAAATCAAGAGCCATAACTGGGCCTGAAGTGAGGAGAGGAACTCAGAGTGGATCCCCATAGAAGCTGTGAATGTAAGCCACTGGGTGAGGCTATTTGTCCCAGCAGTCCCAGAGAACAGGTGCATCAAATTCTCGTAGCATGTTCACATGAAGGGAGAAGCAGCACCGAGACCCTCCCTCCCTTGAAGAAACCAGGCTGGGACCAAGGTATACCCTACTAGGCCAGCCTGAGTAGATAGGGTCCTAACCCCAAAGCTCTGATTGCAACCACTTCAGTGGACTGCAAACCCTCCTCTGTGTGCTTCTCCTGCTTTGCTCCAGTGCACGGAGCACAATGATGTCACGTGTGCTGAGTGCAGTGACATCACTGAGACCAGCTAACCCTGGTGGGCACAGAAGGCCTCCTCCCCCAGGGCATGGCAGATCAACAAGCTGCATTGAGGTGAAGAGTAGGCCCTACACCCCGGGAAGGCGAAGAGTAACTGAGAGCTTCCCTGCAGAAAAGCCTCTCATCAAGGCATTTAAGCATCTCTTTGGCATCACAATGGAACTGATGAACAGTTAGGTAAATAATGCAGCTGGGCTTAGTGATGTGCACCTGAAATTCTAGCACTGAGGAAGCTGAGGCAAGAGGATACTAGGTTCAAGGCTAGTCTGGACTACACAGTTGAGACCCTGTCTTCGAAAGCAAAAAAGGGGCTGGGTAGGTGGCCCAGTGATAAACTGCCTTGCATGCAGGAGGCCCTTTATTGGATTCCTCAGTACCACATAAGCAGCAAAGGCTGGAAGTGGCACTGTGGCTCAAATGGTAGAGCCATAGCCTTGAATTGTAGAGCTGAAGGACAGTGTCCAGGCCAAGTTCAAGCCCCATGACCGACCAAAAAAAAAAAGAATAGAAAATGAGGGGCTGGGAAGGTAGCTCAGTGGTAGACTGATTGCCTTGCATGCATGATGACCAGGGTTCAATTCCTCAGCATCACCTAAGCAGAAAAAGCCAAAAGTGGTGCTGTGGCTCACATGGTAGAGTGTTAGCCTTGAGCTGAAGAGCTTGAGAATAGCATCCTAGCCCAGGGTTTAGTCCCCACAACCGACAGAAAAAAAACAATAGAAAATGAAATGTTTAGGCATAATTTCAAGAATATGTAGGTCTTTGAATATCATATATACTGTGGCACTATTGACCACAGCCAGGAAACAACTCAGAAGCTCCATGGTGTCTGCAGAGAAATGAGTGACACTGAACATGGTCATGTGGAGCAAAGTCAGCCAGGTTCAGAGCAGTGGTCACAGGCCCAACTGTGGATCAATGCGTAAAGAAGATGTAGCCTGGTCAGTCGGTGCTGGAGTCCCTGGCCGGAGTTGTGATCTCTGGATCCCAACCCTCTGGGTGCCTCTGAGGACCTTTCATCAGGATTTTTCTGTCTGAGGAGCAGTTCAGTTCCCAGGATGATGCACGTTGACATGGATGTTGATGCTGAAAATCAGCTTGAACTGGAGGAAAAAGCATGAGATTAATCAAGTGTTGGAACTCCAACACACACTTGAACATCTCTCAGCAAGAATAGATGCAGTTAAGGAAGAAAACCTGAAGCTAAAATCAGTAGACCAAGTTCTTGGACAATATATAGAAAACCTCATGTCTGCTTCCAGTGTTTTCCAAATAACTGATGCAAAAAGCAAAAGAAAGTAAGGGATTGAGTTCCCTTCTCATTTACAGAATTACTGCTTCTCTCTCTCCCTTTCTTCTCTCCGTCCCTTCCCCCTTCCTCCCTCTCTCCCCCCTTTAAAACTTGGGTAGATTCCAAATGTTAAAGTATCTTTGCTTGTGGCTTCATTGAATGTTTATGAAAATAATTTCAAATCTAGGCAAAATTAACTACTTAACAGGAGACTTCCATGAGTCTGTGTATTATGTTAGTCTAAGAAAATGTGCAGATGTATTGTATAGACTTTATAATTAGAATTGCATATATTTATGAAACTTGAAGATGAATATTTTATTGAATTTGCTTTGATATATAGTCTTAGCCTTTTACTACACGCTTACTTAGTAAGATATACAAGAAAATAACCACGTTGTTAAAATGTGACCAAAATCATGTACTGAATGCATAGCTTTATGTATGTACCTGTTCA